ATATGGGGATTTATCGTGCCAACTGCCTTTAATACTAACTTGGCGTTTTGGGAGCACTGGTGTTCTGGGTGAACGGCGTTTTGGGCGCCGATTGACACCTACGCTTTTCTTTTCGCTTAAAGCGCTGATTCTCCCGGAACGCCGAGTCCGAGTCGCAAAGTGTGAACGCAGTCTAAACAATCAGCTTTTCGCAATAGAGCGAAACCAGGATTGCAAACTCTTAAGACGCTGCAGTACATGAACTCCTTAACAGTCATAAAAACACTATTTCCAAGTAACTAAAAAAATCTAAGCCCGTACCAAAAAATAAACTTAAAGGTCAACTATTAAAGGGTCAACTATGAATAGGTATTACCTTGAACAGTCCTGGATTTGACATATACTGCTTGGCTACGACAGCATCTTGTGGATCTTTTGGCTCAGGTGAACACATGAGTGCTTGTATGCTTAAAAGTACTGTTCGCAGTGTTAACGACGCAGCCCTAAACGAAAACACATTTAATAAGCACATATCACGGCAACACTAGAGCACTTCTTTCAAATTATATTAGCTCGATCAGACAGAGGAAACACGACTTTGGATTGTATAGGAACAGGAGACGTCGTACATTGGGGATCACCAACGGGATTCATATTTGGACGCTCAAAGGACGGTCACGTTCCGCAAATTTCCCTCCAATGGCCTAACGTGTCCAGTGTAGGAAGACAGAACACCCGAACGCTCGGAATGCGTGGAAAACTGACGTTTTTCTCTAAATACTAGATGGGAACCTATACTGTCTTTTCCGCTCCAAAAGCTGAATCCACTTATAATTCTTTTCACCTCAAAAATCTCAGAACGATCTAAACGCTAGCGTTTCACCCCAAACCATAGATCGGTAGCTATAGTTCAATTTTGGCCCAACGCGCTCAAAAGCCGATGAAAAGCATGAGCGCAGCACTAAAAATACGACATTACAGTCGTGTATGTATGAAAATATTCTCGAAAAGAACGATATAAGAGATAACCATTGATCTTATCAGAATGTCGCAGACAAATTGTTTCGCTGTTTGAGACTGATGTTGGGATGGCATATCTTCGTAAGGAACTTGATCTGAAATGAGATAAATCATATGTATCAAAGAATTCGAGACTGATCACCCCTTTTCCAGATACAGCGAATGTTCCCGTTATTTCGAATCGTAATGGTATTCGAAGGCGATTTGACCCACACTTGGGGAGAGTCACCGATAATCAGGTGCCTTAACCGTCCAGACGAGTTTGGTCCGAATAAGTTCGCTTCTGGGGAATGCAAGACTTGATTGGCCTAGAAAGTTTCTGTCCGGAATCTTAGTCGCGCAGTAAGAAGCAACAGTTTTATACGAACCCTTCGCCATTACCGATCTTTAGCCCGCTTCAATTCATACTGAGGCAGTACAAAAGAGGTAGTCTCCACCACACTCAAGCGTTCACCGCTGAAAGGGATGGAGAGGCGCTATCGAGTGTCCCCTCTCCCACCTAACTACCTTTGCGTGGCGCATTCTCCTATTGTCTGCTCTTCCATCAGAATGGGAAGAATGCGTCGTGTTCTCCAATGTTCTCGATACATGAACACGCTCTGAGGGACATTCATTTTGGTGGCACAGCTTTTTCTTCCAAACCCTTGTAAACCATTACAACTGACATGGAATCATTAACACATTATTATTGGTATAGTGCCACACCAATGCATTTCAAGTTGCCTCAAAAATAGTACCAGTAGAACTATAGGAACGATTTGGTTGCTCGCCAGTTCCAGAGCTAAAAACTGTGCTCGGCTAGTCTAGGAGCTCAAACTGCCAACGGCATGAACTTGCAACAAGTGAAGACTTCATAAATTGCAACAAGAAAGAACACGGCTAAGAGAGAGGTCTTGTTCACAATTGCGTTACTGAATAGCCCCAGTGGGTTAAGGGCTCCACATGCGTCTTAAGGTTGAGGGTAGCGGCATGCACAAACCAAAGGGTATGTGCTTGTTGAGTTATCAGTGGACGAAAAACCAAACGAAACAGTCGAAAACGTTCTGAATGAGACCCTCGAAGTGCAAGCATAGCACCCGTTTATGGTTTATCGCGGAACGAGCCTTCGCGTAACAACGAAAAAATGAGGACGCAATCAGCTTGGTGGGGGCACCAAGTGGTTCTCAGCAAAACCTTTACGGAACTAGACGTGAAATCCTGAATTGCAACCATAGGAGGAACACATGCTATATAGCAGGTTAACAGGACTTTGCAGGTCTTACCAAAATAGGACTTGTTAGTTAATATGAGCTGCCAAAAGTAACTAGTAGAAGAGCAAAATGCCCCTTCCAAGCCAAACAGCCCCCAAAAGTGGGATTTGGGTGTAATAGTGAAATTGGACCGGAAAATCCAAATGAAACATTCAACATACCTTTGGCGGAGTGAATGGATAGGTGTCTGGGATCTTGATTTCTAAATCAAATGAGCCTCCTTGATAGGGAGTATCGGGCGGTCCACGGATTTGTCCTTTGATTTCCGACAACGAGTCGTTTAAAATTTCGATCATAATACCCGTCTCAGCAATCTCCTTATTGGTGACCACTTCTTTGCATTCCCGTTGAATTCGAGTGAACGCGATATTAGACATCGAGAGCTAAATAGCTAAATTTCACAATCAGCTAGGGTTACATTTGAGAAATAGAAGTACGCTTCAAAGAAAATTGAAAGCCAGGATGCTACTGTCAGTGGGGGGGGATTCTGTTGATTCATGTTAAATGCTGAGCCATCTTGTGAAGTCCTGGGACTTCCTGTGAAGCTGTAAAAGATGTCAGTTTCATTTACTCACTATTTCTCCGATTTTCTTTCTGACTTGGATGACATTCTGAGCAGGAGTGCGAAAAAAGATTATGAGCTAGAAAATGAGGATTTTTCCTCAGCCAACCCTCCTCCCCTTTTAAAATTTCCCCCTCTGGTACGACTCTCTTCTACCAGCCATCCCAGGAACTTTTCCCGAAAATTCCTCCATTCTTTCCCCAAAAGACTGCTGTTGGCAGGGGTTGGAGAGTGTATGGCACACCTGAAATAGGAAAAACCCAAGAAAAATTAACAACCCAAAACATTTATATCACGAGAAAAGACCACCACTCCAACCTTCCTCACAAGCCGAAATACGACCCCATCTCGCTGGAATCCTCAACAAGCTTTTACAAGAGTTCACAAGAATTTATAGAAAAGCTCGGCATATGGACTGGAACTACAAAATGCCCCTACCTTCCACCTCCGAGCCGACTAGCGTGCCAAAAGCTGATAAGCGGAAATCGAGTGGAGCCGTGAAACGGTTGAAATTGTAATCTGTTTACAAACTTTCTAATCGCTGCTAACAGTAACGTATCAGATCCACAGAATTTATCTATGGTGGGGCAGGGCTTTAAACAGGACACCAACAATAACAACACCAATTACTGATCAAGCCAAGTGGTCCCAATGGGCAAAACACTTGAGGAAACTGCCTACGGTGATAATGCCGAAAGCTGAGAATAAAAAGCTAGAAATTCCAAATTTGGATTTTACGGGCGGGAATCTAAGGACTGAAAGATTCTGAGCGAAGACAAACGGCGGCTACAAAAGAGACAAGTTACAGAGCTTTTATGAACCGGATGTCCTCTTGTGCGAAGATTCGGGGGTATTTTCTGACGGCCTCTTCGGGATGAGCATCCAGAGGGAAAAATAAGGAAGTGTATGAAAGAGGGAACAAAGGAAGGAAAAGAATGAGCAATGGAAGAAAAAGCGAGCCCTGCAGGGAAGTGGTGCCGTTTTACGTAATCTCAGTGTGTCCGCAATGTTACGTTCACGTGGGCGCCACGTGATGTCACTTGCCCCCTCAATTTCCAACGGGTGAACGTTATAAACGTTTAATTGCCATCTTTCATTGCTGTTCTTCGGCCATTCAACATGATCGTCTAGCCGATAGTGTGGGTATTTGCGTGTTTTCAAGTGTCATTGACGTACTTCGTGACAATCCGTTCATCTGGGAATGTCGTGTAGTGTAAAGAAAATGGGTGGTCGCCGACGTACCTCCGCAGCTCAAGGAGAAGTGTCAGAAATGAGTCCCACCGGTTCGGATTCGTCTGTTTATTCGGATAAGAAGAAACAAACACATCTTCGATGTGAACGACAACGACGTGAAGCTATCAATGTGAGTTTTAACACTTCTCTTTGGAAGTGTGCTTTAGCGAGATCTCATGAGTGATTCCGGCACAGTTCGGCTTGGGGGGGGGCGACACCTTGCTCTTCTGCTACTTCCCATTGTCTTGATCACTGCTTTACAAGTATTAACAGGTGTTCTTTACAAGAACTGACAAGTTATCCCTGCAAACCTTGGCTGGTATCACTTTACGATTCCACAGATCTCTGCTTGATGGCTCGGTACGTCGATGGGAAGTGGCGGAAGTGCAGAATCCCCCCTTTTTTGTCTCCTTCACCGTACCTCAAGCCGAGCTGCGTCGCGACTCCTTGCCTTAAGTTCCTTCAGAAGGCTCACATTAATCCCACATATCTTCGTGACACACCCAATTGGGTCTTATTCCCTTTTTTAACGCTTTCGGTCTCTATTAGGAGGCCAAACTGCGTTTATACTCTGCGAATATGGAAATTCGCGGTTGTGATTTTATTTTCTGAATTCGCAGTTCGGACATTCCGCATCAGCCTGTTAAGCGTACACCAGCGTTCATACCAACTAAGAGTGATTCTTTTAGTCAAAACTGGGTAATATTAGGCTAGCCTATGAGGCCGAAAGTTGCAAGGCCGTACACGACTCAGTCGTTGAAAAATACTGGCAAAACGCTTGATCGGCAAGTTACAACGCACTCGTTAGGCCTTACAATATCAAAGAACAATGTTTTCCGCCGGGGCTATCCCTCATCGAGTTCTGGTTTGTCTTGTGCTGCCAGCCTAAAGCGTTGTTGGGGAAATGGATGCGAAGGCTCTGCTGGTATCCGCGTCCCCTCCCCATCGGGCACATGTCGAACCCATAAAGCCTTCTCTGCTCCTTCCTTTTTTTCTCGCTCCTCTTTCTTTTTCTTCTTCATTCTTCTGATCCCTCCCTCTCTTTACCTTCCCCTTCACTGCTGCTACTGGGGGAGATGCCCCGTTGAAATTAGCCCGTGGACCTCGCAGCCGAAGATCGTTGCTGTTTTGACATCTGCCCCGTAACCGTCCCTCCACCTCTGATACGCCAGAAATGTTGAAGCTGTTCCACCATGATTTAGCGGCCCATTTCTCGAATCTCTTAGATTATTCCGAATGTGCTCTCCAAACGATACCTGTACGTTCCTTTGTCGCATAGTCTGTAGAATCATGCATTCCCGAGGCTGACATCAGGCCACCATTCCGTTCTGTGGGAATTTTCTAGCTTCAAAAGATATGAATACGACTCATCATTAGACATAGATGTATAGAGGAAAGGGTACGTCGCTGCTCTGGTCATTTTTCTTGAGGCTGAGCAGAGAGGATCACTATTTCTCAGTATCTAGGGACAAATGTGCAGGCTTAGTCATGCGACTGCAAGCCTCCTCTCGCTTCTCTTCCCGCTGAATTTGAATCCTCACGGAGTCCTTTGAGGGGACACTGGATGCTCTTTGTTGTAAAACATTCAAGTTTTAGAGTATTGTCTGTACAATAGCCCTCTTGTTGATCTGATTGTTTAACAGCAAGGGCACACAGCCATGCGACCGTCTCTCTTCTGCGAGATTTTGTGGCGACTTTGACTACCTACGCAGCTGAGCCCAGGAGTGCGTTCATACCTCGAACTTGTGGTTCTCGTAATCAAACCATCGCACGATCTTAGCGACCAAATCGCGAAGTATGAAAGCGCCGTTTGTCCTGGTTCACTTTCCAGGACAAACGGCGCTTTCATACTTCGCGATTTGGTCGCTACGATCGTGCGATGGTTTGATCATCGAACGATCGTAGCGACCAAATCGCGAAGTATGAAAGCGCCGTTTGTCCTGAAAAGTGGAACTGTTGTAGGGGGTTGCGGTGTGACTTCCTCTAGAACTAAGTTAGCGCTCAAAGTGTTTGGTATGAATAAGTAAGCTTTTCGGAATAAGAAGAACTAAGTATTCAAATTCGGCTAAACAGTGTTTACTTTAAGTGCCACTACTACGCTGGAGAGTTGGGCATCCTCTCTGAAAGTTCCTTTTTGGGAAAGGGCCGTTTTCTTTCAATAAATCAGTAATTTTCGAAAGAGCTACGAATAACTTCATTTTCGAGGAGTTGGCATGGGGTGTTCGATCACGGACGAGCTCTTTGTAATGGATTTTTTGCTTTTTTTCGAGTCGTTATGCGATGCTGGCGTTTTTGCAACCTGTTGATCATCATAAGCTTCCAAAGCATGTGAGCATCGAGAGTAACAGGTGACCCCATTAGTGCATAATGTCGTCAAAACTCATTCTGCCACTACCATTGTTAAGATGAAAAACCTGAGGAAGTTGCATAGTAGGTCAAACACTTAGATCCTTTAATAAAAAAAAGGTAGGCGCCAATGTAGTGGGAGGACCAAGTGGACGCGGCTGTTTATCTCTTTGCCAGAAAGGCCTGCTTTTAGAGCGCAGATGACCAGAGTCGCCGAAAAGTAGTCCCGCGTAGAAGGCGTAGTCTTCACTAAGCCTGGGCTTTGATTAGGGGAAAGAATACGAAAGCGCTGGCGAGTGTCTTTCCCCACGCCCTCTCACCTGCGACCACACGAGCTCTAAAACAACGGATTCCAAGCTGTTTTAGTATGATAACTGCTGTTTAACCCTGCTATTCGCGCTTCGAAGTTTTTATAACAATGCTGAGTTATGGGTCAAAGTCAGATCCCGTCCAGACGAGACTCGAGCCCGCGGCGCAGTTCGGCGACGGGTGGGAGGGGAGGGGGCATTTTG